GAGAGAGAGAGAGAGAGAGAGAGAGAGAGAGAGAGAGAGAGAGAGAGAGAGAGAGAGAGAGAGGAGGAACGAGAGAGAGAGAGAGAGAAGAGAGAGGATAAACGAGAGAGAAAGAAAGAAAGAAAGAAAGAAAGAGAGATAGAGAAAGAGAGAACCAGAAAAAAACAGAGACAGAGAAAGAAACACTTACAATCAAACCATTCAACCCAAACCAAGCCGAACCAAACTCAAACCAAACCAGCCAACTCAAAGTCAACTATATCCAACCAAGCCAATTGAACTGAAACCAGACTAGCTAAACCACCCAACTCAAGGCAAATTTAACCAAACCAACCTCATTCGATCAAACCAACTCAAGCTATCCCGCCGCAACCCAAACCAATCCAACTCAATTCCAACCAATACAGCTCAACACAACTCAACCCAAACTAACCCACTTCAACCCAACTCAAAATATTTCAATCCAACTCACCCTAACACAACCCAAACCAACCCAACTCAACCCAAACCAACCCATTTCAACCTAAACCAACCCATTTCAACCTAACTCAACCCAAACCAACCCACATCAACCCAACTCAACCCATTTAAACCCAACTCAACCTATTTCAATCCAACTCAACCCATTTCAACCCAACTCAACCCATTTCAACCCAACTCAACCTATTTCAATCCAACTCAACCCATTTCAACCCAACTCAACTTATTTCAACCCAAACCAACCCATTTCAACCCAACTCAACCCACTTTAACCCCTCCCTGCAACCGAGGCCGCCAGACGCAGCGTGCAACCCACCAAGCCTTTCACGGAAGGCGAAAATGCGCGGCGTGTGAAAGAGCGGCAGCGTGGTCACCGTGAAGATAAAGATGCGCCATTACTCACGTCAAGAGCACTTTTTTTTTCCTTTTTCTTTTTCTTTATCCTTTTTCTTCTTGTCTTTGTTTTTTGTTTTGTTTTTGTTTTATGTTTCGTTTATTTTGTATTTTTTCCTTCTTGGTTTTCTTGTCTTTATTTTATTTTATTTTATTTTTTTGATCTTGTTTTTTTCTATTTTTTTGTTTTTGTTTTTTGTATTTTTCTTTTCTTTTCTCTCTTTTTTTAGATGTTTGTTTTCGTTTTCTTTCTCTGGCTTCTTTCTTTCTTTCTTTTCTTTTCTTGTTTTTTTTATCATTTCTTCGTTTTTTTTTTCTTTCTTCTTCTTCTTCAACGTCTACGCTTGGCGCCGAAACTGGGGCGTGGATAATTATAGTTACTTATTGTATGGCGGTGGCACAGTAGCCTGGTTGTATGTATGTCTGTCTTAATCTCACTGCATGTCTGTTTCTCTCCCTCTACCGCTCTCTCCGTCTGTCTGTCGGTCTTTCTGTTTCTCTCTCTGTGTCTTTCTGTTTCTCTCTTTGTGTCTTTCTGTCTGTCTTTCTGTTTCTCTCTTTGTGTCTGTCTTTCTGTTTTTCTCTCTGTCTATCTGTCTGTCTTTCTGTTTCTCTCTGTGTCTTTCTGTCTGTCTTTCTGTTTTTCTCTCTGTCTGTCTGTCTTTCTCTTTGTCTTTCTGTTTCTCTCTCTGTCTGTCTATCCATCTGTTTGTCTTTCTGTTTCTGTCTGTCTGTATGTCTTTCTGCTTTTTATTTATCTCTGTCTGTCTGTCTGTCTTTCTGTTTCTCTCTCTCTCTTTCTCTCTCCCTCTCTCTCTCCTCCCCTCACTCTTCCTCCCTCCCTTTCCCTCCTTCCCTCCCTCCTACACTCACTCACTCTCCCTCCCTCCTTCCCTCTCTCCCTCCCTCTTTCGCTCCCTCCATCCCTCTCCCTTCCTCCCTCTCCCTTCTCTCTCTCACTCTCCCTCTCTTTCTCCCCCTCTCTCTCCCCTCTCTCCCTCCCTCTTTCGCTCCCTCCCTCCATCTCCCTTCCTCCTTCCCTCCCTCCCTCTCCCTCCCTCACTCTCACTCTCCCTTCTCTGTCTCCCTCTCTCTCCCCCTCTCTCTCTCCCTCTCTCACACACAAACAGCGCACATTACACGCCACTGCAGCTCATATCAGAGACCAGCGCCATGATAATACAAATTGTAGCATCGCCCTAGTTATTATTCTTAATATAGGAGAAGGAAAGAGAAGGGGAGAGGGGGGGAGGAGGAGGAGGAGGAGGAGGAGGAGGAGAAGGAGGAGGAGGAGGAGGAGGAGGGAGGAGGAGGAGGAGGAGAAGGAGGAGGAGAAGGAGGAGGAGGAGGAGGAGGGGGGGAGGAGGGAGGAGGAGGAGGAGGAGGAGGAGGAGGAGGAGGAGGAGGAGGAGGTGGAGGAGGAGGCGGGGAAGGGGGGAGTAGGAAGGTGGAGGAGGGGGAGGAGGAGGAAGAGGAGGAGAGGGAGGAGGAAGGGGAGGGGGAAGAGGAGGGGACGAGGAAGAGGAAGAGGAAAAGGAGAAAGAGGAGGAGGAGGGGGGGAGGATGGGGAAGAGGAGGAGATGGAGGAATTTAAATCAACAATAGGAATACATAATAAAAATGACAAAAATAAGCAGAGAAAAACAATAAGAGAAAGAACAGGTTCAATAAAAAAAAGTTGAAAAAAAGAAATACAGCTATAATATTCTTTTAAAGTTTTCCTCAAATAATTAGAATTGGGGAAAAGATAATAATTAATATTAAGGGAATGATGATGGGATAATAATGATAATAACACAATAGTAATAGTGGTAATAATTGCAGTAACAACAATAATGGTGATGATAATTATGGTGAAGAGGACGATGATGATAATAATGATAACAATTAACAAAAATTAATAGTACTAATAACAATAACTATAACAATAATACTGATAGCAATAATAATAATGATAACAATAATAATAATAATAATAATAATGATAATAATAATAATAATAATAATAATAATAATAATAATAATAGTTATGATGATAATAATGATAATGATAATAAGAATAATAATAATAATAATAATAATAATAATAATAATGATAATGATAATAATAATAATGATGATAATAGTAACAATAATAATAATAACAATAATAACAATAATAATAATAAATAATAGGGAGGAAAGAGAGCGATAGAGGGAGAGGGAGAGAGAGAGAGAGAGAGAGAGAGAGAGAGAGAGAGAGAGAGAGAGAGAGAGAGAGAGAGAGAGAGAGAGTGAGAGAGAGAGAGAGAGAGAGAGAGAGAGAGAGAGAGAGAGAGAGAGAGAGAGAGAGGGAGAGAGAGAGAGAGAGATAGAGAGTGAAAGAATGAGAGTGAGAGAGAGAGAGATGGAGATCACAACTCTCTCTCCCTTCTTCGCTTACTCGCACTCTCACTCCTTGACACTCCCACTCCCTCGCTCCCTAATTCTCTCCCTCCCTTGCTCCCGTCCTCCTTCCCTCAATTGCTTACTCCCTCACCCCCTCACTTCCTCCTTCGCTCCCTCATTCCCTCCCTCCCTCACTTCCTCTCTAACCCCATCCCTCCCTCCCTCCCTCGCTCTCATGCCATTCGGTGGTCGACGCGGCGGGACTTCCCTCACTCCCTCACCCCATAGATCCTTCCCTTCCTCCCTCTTTCCCTCCCTCACTCCCTCACCCCATAGATCCTTCCCTTCCTCCCTCTTTCCCTCCCTCACTCCCTCACCCCATAGATCTTTCCCACCGTCCCTCCCTCCCCCTTCCCTCCTCCTTCCCTCTTTCCCTCCTTACCCCCTTCTCTCCCCCCTTCCTTCCCTTCCTCCCTCCCCCTTCCCTACCCCCATCCCTCCTTCCTTCCCTCCCTCCCTCCCCTCCCTCCCTCCCTCCCTCCCTACCCCCCTCTCCTTCCTTCCCTTCCTCCCTCCCTCCCTCCCTCCTCCCTCCCTCCCTCGCTCCCACGGCGTTGGGCGGTCGGCGCGGCGGGACAGATCTCGTGGGATGGAAATGGCATGGGCGGCGGGAGCGGCGCGGGCGTCCTGGCCAGATGAAAGACGCCGCCACACCCCGCCCAGCGACTCACCGGCGCCAGCAGACCCAAGACCCACATCCTCTATAGCATCCACAGGTCCTCTACTACCCTCCCCCCCCCTTCCCTCCCTCTCTCTCTCTCTCTCTCTCTACCCTTCCTTCTACCCACCCTCCTCCATACTCTTTCCTCCTTTCCTCCTTCCTCTTTTCCTCGATTTTTTTTCCTGTGTTTTCCCATCTCTTGGCTATACTTCTTTTCCCCCCTTTTCTTTCATGTTTTCCTCTTTCCCTTCTTTTTCGTCTCTCGTTTTCCTCCTTTTCATCTTTCGTCGACTTCCTTTCCTTTTTCTTTCCACCTCCTCTTCCTCTTTCTCCTCCTCTTCTATTCATCCTTCCCTTCCTCTACCATTTTTTTCCCTTCCACCGCTCATCAAATCTCTTTCCTCTTCCCTTCCCTTCTTTCCCACTTCTATCTCCTCCTACACTTTCTCTCTCTCCCTTCTCTTCTTCCCTTCCTTCTTTCCCTGTCCCCTCCCTCTTTCCTCTTATCCACTCCCTCATCTTTCCCTATTTTTTTTTTTTTACCCTTATCCACTTTCTCTCCTTTCCTCTCCTCCACAATCTCATTCCCTTCCTCTCCTGCTTCCCCACTTCCCTACTTCCATACATTCACCTCCCCATCCATTTCCTCTCCTCCCTCCTTCCCTCTTCATCCACTTATTCTCACCCCCTTCTCCCCTCCTACTCTTCCCCCCCCTATCCACTTCCCTACTTCCACCCCCTCATCCACTTACTCTCCAATCCTCCTCCCCGTTCCCCCACTCCCCACAACCCACCCCCACCCACACCCCCACTACCCACCCCACCCACTACCCACCCCCACCCACACCCCCGCCCCCGCCCCTATCCCCAGACCCAGAGCACAATCACTCCCCAGCATCCAATCCCAATCGTGGCGGAATTTGTAGAGAAATGTCAGTGTAATTTAGACTAAATATTCTGAGAGAGAGAGAGAGAGAGAGAGAGAGAGAGAGAGAGAGAGAGAGAGAGAGAGAGAGAGAGAGAGAGAGAGAGAGAGAGT